ATCCCTGAGCAACTAATCAAAGAAACCAATCATCAACTCGTCTAATCTTTCATATGGAACAAGGTTGCTTTTGTGCTGGAGGTCTTTGCTCGGCCAGTGACCTCCAGCTTTGTGCATATACTCACTTCATGAATATTCTGTTAATTTAATTACATCCAACACCGCTTAAAAAAGAAATCCTGCAATTTTGAGTTTGACAGCCTTAATGGAGTCTATCATTTGTGGGTGTGAAAAAATTATGCCACATAGTTTGCAATTCCAAAACTGTGAAATAACACTGTAAACAGGTAATTTACAAATGGGAAACCTCGCGTCACATACTGAAAATGTGCAATATACACACATTATTATTATACATATTATATACATACAAAAATAATTACAAGTTATTATTCTGACCACTAGAAGGCCCTCTCCCGCTGTTTGAGAAACTCCACAATCCCTCATTCTATCTTCATCTATGTCACTAATAGAAAAATTCACATTCACTTTAACCACTTCCATACTTAAGCGCAGTTTCATAATATCATATCAAGTTATTAAGGATTTCCACCCCTCTCCTGCTTAGCTCCTGTGTGTCCATTAGCGCTGTAATAAAGTTATGATTTCATTTTAATTCCATTACTCTATACCCTGGAAGCCGATCGCGAGACGAGCCATTTTAATTAAACATGGACGTAACCTTATTTATATTTGCACTAATGTCACGTCAGACAATGAGCTGCAATGAAGATGCTTTTATGTGCCATGGGAAATTGCATTGGTGAATAATGTAATAGCATTAATGAGATAAGAGTGATGAGAATGCTGCCCCATTGCAGGAAATATGACCCTTAATGACATAAGGAATTCTGGGCATGTGCAGGAGGCAATTAATGCTGAAATCATTCGTTAATGTAATGATTTTATAACATTACACACACTGGTTTTAGTTTGCGATCGGCAATAGTAGAAAATGTAGGGTAAAAAGATAATGTATTGCAGATGTCTATTCTTGCTGAAGTCTTGTGGTGTAAGTAATAGATAAATAAAACAAATAGATATGGTCTTGTGAGGATGTCAAAATGATTATTAGACATAGAGGTAAAACTCAGAAAATCTAAATATTGTTCAAAAGTCCATTTACTTACAATTAAAATATGAAACTCAAAGTGAGATACATCAAGCCTTTATTTATTATAATATTATAATTATGGCTCACAGCCTGTACAAACTCCAAATGAAACAAATCTCAGATGTTAGAATATTCGGAAAAAGCACAGTAAGCTATAATCATGAAAACTATAACAAAGGCTTGGCATGTGTCACTTTGCATGTAATGAGTATTTCATATTATGGTTTCACATTACAGAAAAAAATAACTTTTTAATGATATTCTACTTCACTTGCATATATTGACTTGAAAAATCTTAAACCTTTGCAAAGTGTCTGATAGATATTGTCAGTAAAAATGAGAAAAGAGGCCTTCTCCCATTATGCTCCTTGTAAATTGAACACCCTCCATCCATCCATCCATTTTCTTCCCCTTAATCCATTTCTGGGTCAGTCAGAGCTGCACCCAGTACACATAGCACCAGTCCAATTGAACACAATTGGTGATAATTGGTGAGAACCAGGGACTGCGTGTCTGAGGTCCTGACCTGCAGTGTGGGGGCCTCCAGGGAACTGTCCTCGCGCCGTTCCTCTTCACCCTCTACACTGCGGACTTCAGACACAACACGGACGGTTGTGTCCTCCAGAAGTTCTCCGACGACTCTGCCATCATCGGACTCAGCTCCGAGGACGATGACGCAGAGTACAGAGGAGTAATACAGGACTTTGTGGACTGGTGTCAGCGGAACCACCTCCTCATCAACGCGGGGAAGACCAAGGAGATGGTGGTGGATTTCCACAGACGTCACTCTGCCGCTCCAGCTCCAGTGAACATCCAGGGAAAGGACATTGAGAGAGTGGACTCTTACAAGTACCTGGGTGTTCATCTGAACCACAAACTGGACTGGACTCATAACACAGACGCTCTCTTCAAGAAGGGCCAGAGTCGCCTCTACCTGCTGAGGACGCCTAGGTCTTTTGGAGTGCAGGGGCCACTCCTGAAGACCTTCTATGACTCTGTGGTGGCATCAGCCATCTTGTACGGTGGGGTCTGCTGGAACAGCAGCATCACAGAGAGGGACAGGAAGAAGCTGGACAAGGTCATCAAGAAGTCCAGCTCAGTCCTGGGCTGTTCCCTGGACACAGTGCAGCAGGTGGGGGACAGGAGGGTCCTGAGCAAACTAATATCTATGCTGGACCATGACTGTCGCCCCCTGCAGGACACTCTCTCTGCTTTGGAGAGTAGTTTCAGTGACAGACTAATTCACCCTTGCTGTGTGAAGGAGAGGTTCCGTAGGTCTTTCCTTCCTGCTGCTGTCAGACTGTACAATAAGAACTGCTGAGACTGTAAATTTCATTCATCTGTAACTAAGTAAATTCTTAAATCATGTGCAATGTGCAATAATGCAACTTCAGAATGTCACAGAACACTTTACCTCATCTCACTTTACTTATATACTTTTTATCCTGCACTATTTAACTGTACAGTAAATAACTGCACTACTACATATATATTTTTTGACTGGTATTGAAGCTTTTTCAGCATCTACAGCTAGTTATGTTAGCTAAGAAACATAGCTACTACTTATTTGTATATAGTGTATATATTATAAAGTAAGTAAGTAATGTTTATTTATATAGCGCATTTTACAGACCAAGGTCACCCAAAGCGCTTTACAATGTTCAGAGTTCAGATACTGTTCCAATTATTCCACACACGGTGATGGAGTGAAACTGAAAGCAGGGACAAGACATGGGGGAAAAAACAATAATGGACCAACAACAAGAGGACAGGAGCACAGGGTCTAAAAACACAGAGGGAAGTAACAGAACAGGCCGAATGTAAAACTCAAATAATGTGGGAAAGAATAAATATCAAAATCAAACCAGGGAACAATAAATCTACAAAAATATTCTACTCCATGACACACAATTGATAAACATTGCATGATCCATTGCAACAGACGCAGTGGCTTTGGGAAGTCTCAAAGTTCGATTCTTGCTGTTTATAAATGAAATATGTCCATGTGCTAAACACTTCTGCCATTCTGTCTCCAGTGTGTACGCAGAACAAGCTGTCAAAATGTACTTTTGTGTTACATTAATAAACAATGGATGAACGTATTATCTAAGTGAGACACATGTTGCCAATGAATGAGAATGTGGAAAACATGCTGTAATAGTTTTCTTGTATCCTACGATGTGTTTTTTGTGTGTTATTTTGTTTAAACTTGTTTCATCTGTATGTATCCTGGGCTGTTTTCTCTTTATCTCCAACAGAATGATGAATTTTCAGATGTGGCAGTTTCTAGTCTGCGCCGCACTCGGGTCCCTCTGGAGTCACATGGGCTGATATGAGACAGACTTGCTGTAGGGTATCGCTTCTTATCTGCGTAATGTCTGCGTCCTCCGGGCATCAATGTTCATCTTTTCTACAAGATACCTGTTATTACTTTATAACTCTGGAAATGTCGGGGTGAGCGGTCACATCAGCAAAAAAAACAAGAAGAAGAAGACAAGGACGGATGAAATATGGGACTTCAGAATGATCTGGTTGTTTCAATGTTTAAAAAGAAAAGGCACTTAGAAAACGACTCAATTCAATCATCCGCCTGAAATGTGCATGTGGAAATATTCAATAACACACATAGTAGCATTTATGTAGTATCAATGTAGTATCTAGGAAGGTATCAGACTCAGTGCTTGAGGAGACCGGGCCCTTGCTGTTGCTATACACGCCCAAATTGTGGGAGAGTTTACCATCTGTACATTCAAATTATTGGAGATTTCTTTTTATCTAGCCCAAAGACACATTTGTATGCCTTGGCTTTCATCACCAACTAAGTTCTACTGTTTTATGACTTTACATGTGTTTGTGTGTATGGGTTTCAGCCTACACCCCTTTTTAGTCAGGCAAATTGACACATACTTTCCCACTACTACTATAACTATTTCATGCCGCTTTTCTTTTGTAATTTTTTCTCTATTTTGAGGATTTGGAACACTGTGCTATACAAGTAAAGTTGACAGTCTAAATAAACTGAAATACTTGTGTCACAAGTACAAAGATTGGATTATTGTAATAAATCTTTTTCCGGTTTTCCTTGTAGATTCAGTGCCTTTGGCTCATTCAAAAATCTGCTGCTTGTGTACTATAAGAAAAGATCTTCTTTAAATGATCTCCAATGGCTCCCAATTCAGGCATTTCAGAATTCAAAATCCTTCTACTTATTCTTAAAGTCCTCAACAGTATGATGAATATGATCATTTGAAGTTGTAGACATTATCTTTAACACCAAGACTCCCAGAATTCTGTACCTACTTGAACCCCCATCATTTTGCACCCATTCACGCCAACGGAATTCTGTAAAATTACCCCAAAATATGTTTCTTTTTTTTGCAGTTTTATTAAAAGTATGTCATGTATACAGTAGGTTATTTTTTTTACTTTACTCTGCTGCTCTGGGAGTCACATTTCAAATGAATAGGTATATAGGAGGATACCGCCCTCTCCACTTCCAGAACCACCAGAATGATTGACAATTGGGAGGACCAATAGTTTTGATGATCCAGCCGTAAGTAGAAAATCTTTCTATATAACTTTAATACAAAGATTGACATAGAAATAAACTACATACTGATACAATAAAAGTTAGGAAGACCAAAAACCTTGACATAAACTTCGTCCTCATATCAACTACTTCAGATGCTTTTGAGTTTAAAAACACACTCATAATCCATTTTTATTTATTTTATTTTCTAAATATTTTTATGCACAAAAGTTGCACTCAGATGGTTCTCAAACGTGTCCCCATGGGCTTTCAAGGTGGCTCTTTATTCAGTCAATAGCGGTCATATAAACCCTTTACATTTTCTTATTCTCTTATGTCCTCGTCCACACTTCCTCTTCAGAGCTCCTCACTGTGAAAAGCTGAACAAGAACATTGTCGTGTTTATTGAAATCCTTCCACAAAGAGAGTTTTACATGCAGCAAATGCTATATTATGCAGCCTTGAACTTTAATCTATATGTTTTTTTATAATTAATATAATTTACAGAAATCTTGTGTTTATCTCATTAGTGAATTAAGTCTCAATGCCACCATTTCTCATTTATATGTTGATTTTTGAGCATATGGTGTATATGATCTGCGCTAAAATGTCTGAATGTTGATTAGATAAGACAGCAATGCATAAAACTTTAATTATTCAAATGGTTTCAGTGGAATATAAAGATATAGTGACGGTAGAAATGCATTAGTATCAGTGGAATGAGAGATTGAGAGAGAATATGAACTGAACATGAGCTTTGAGAGTTGAGAGTAACTTTGCAACACTCAAAACATTGAATTTATGGCACATTTCACCATGAATTAGATTAGATTTATAGTTAGTGTTTATTGTCTCTTGACATAGAGACATTTGTCTTGGACATACAAAGCGCATGTAATTTAAAATGTTGATCCAAAGATGTTTTTAGACTTTCATATGATTTGTATTTGTGTAAACTTTGCACACTTTGTTTACTTTTGAATGCGCTGGAAACGGCAGCAAGTCCTAAGTAGCTCTGAAACAGTTTTGTTGTGCTTTACAATAGTTTTATTTCTTGTTTTGTTTCTAGCTGTAAATGTTACTGTAGTACTGTGTTCATGGTTTTGCACTGATCCAGACCAGAGCAGAGAGAATGTGCGGTCTGAACCAAGCGTAAATCCTTTGGAGGAATGCTTTTTTTGTTATGCTAATTTAGCATTCAGAATTTCTATCTGTGAAAATAGTCTGAACCAAGCAGACTCTGCAGACATCACATCAACCAGAGGATTGGAAGCATCACCAGCAGCTGCACCAATATCTGCTGCTGGGATTGAAAGTCCTGTTGCACTTTTTTACTATTGTTAATACGTTTTAGAAATATGTAGTTTTTGTTTGTTTGTATGAATGGAGTTGTTTCTTCTGGACACCTGCATTTCTCATATGGGATATCCATAATGTATCTATCTATCTATCTATGCATGAAGAAGGGCCGTACAACTAACCAGCTTTTCTTCTATTGACAAAATGATTTGCATTAGATAGTATGTGCTTAAACATTGTAGTGTTCAGACCAAATGAACGATTGAATTGCCGGTATTTGCTCTATTCAGAACACAGAAGAAATGTTTATTGCGATTTTAAAATAGATTTTCCTTAATCCTGAATTTGAGATCATAGTCTATGTCTAAGAAGTTTTTAACTACTTTTTTTGCAGGTTACTTGAATAAAGGAATAACTTCATTAATTTCAGTCTTTGCCAATTTGTGTCCACTCAAATTCAGTATATTCAATTGTGATTATTCATCCATGAAGTTGCAGTACTAATGTTTATTACCAGGGGTTAACAGGTGAAATAAGTACTTTTTAGTAGCTCAGAGCGTCCAAACTGTGACCCGACCGGCGCTTCTTGCAGAATCTGCTAAAAAATCTTTCATTCACATGCACAGCATCAAAAGCCCAGATTTGAATAATCAGAATCCAATGTTCAAATCTATAGTGTTGTTGCATATTTTGGCCCAGACCCAGACTCTGAGAAGCTTGTGCTTTGGTCACGTAGCAGCGTGTTATTAAGTAGTCGTGAGGGATGCCGCCTTACATGTGAAGGGGTCAGTTAGCTGTTGAATACCTTCCTCTTCGTCTTCTGGGGCCACCAGGCCGGACAGGAACGCCCACAGCGTCTGCAGCCAATCAGAGCTCTCCTCAGACGTCACATGAGCCACAGCCGCCTTCAGTGGACGAGCAGCTGTGGAGGGACCAGGAGGCAGTTATGCACATGTTCAATGTCGGCCTGCAGTACAAATACATCTGTGAGCTGCTGCGACAATCTGCAATTTTCATTAAAAGGTAGTGATGAGCAAATGAACCGTTAGATATTCTATTTTATTTAGTTTTATGTTATTTAGTATAGAGTTATTGTTCCTTTATCTTGTGTGGTGTTCTCCTCATTCCCCTCTGTGGGACGAATAACGGATCTCGTTGGAGCTTGTGTCGCTCTTTTTGAAGCAAAATACGTTGATGCAGTTTCCTTGTTTTTTACTTTTTGAATGCAAACATGTGGATTTCTCTTGTTTTATTGGTGTTATTAATATGAAATAAAAAGTGGTTTGATATTGGTATTTGTCAAGACAAAAAAGTCCAGTTATTCATTAGCTGCAATGAAATTTTCCACATATTAAATGGTACTAATACAAAAAAAAATCATGGTGCTTTTCTCCAGATGTTCCTTTTATCAAAAATCACAAACTCCCGAGACCAGGAACTTTTTGGGCCTGCAAAGGGGGTCAAAAAAAATTTTGTTGTCGAAATTGGCGAAAAACATTTGCACTCCCCCAGGCTGTTGTGTGGACTTGGACTCAAAATGGCTGTACTAATAGAAATTAATATTTGGCTCATGGAATAATGTAAAAATAATAGATTTTCGCAGCCCTAATCACAGAAGAATTGTGGATGAATAAAAGGTAAAACATATCCCGACAGAGACAAACCTCCTATCACGTGATGCTCATAACATAAATATTGCTTATAGCTAAAATATCACCTTTGCTAATACCTACGTACGTGACATGAGTTTGGGCATGGTAATATTTGCGTTAGAGAGAAAAGCTTTTGAACACAAGGTCTCCACGAAACAAGCTTCTTCAAATGTAGTTTTACTGACATTACAGGAGAAAAACTTAATAGGAAATGTTTTGTACTAGTTAACAATGAAGGACATCTTGTTTCAGCGCCAAAATCTGCCTGTTGTGGTCTCATTAACAAGAGGAGATTACAAAGAATGATTAACGTGACACCAAGACGCATGCCACTTTTCTTTGTCAGGGAATGAACGGTGTGCAGGGTGTAAATATTTGGAGAAATACCCTGAAATTCTCTTTGAAGTCAATTGTTGAAGTCACACAAACTTATAGATTTCAGAAGGCTGCTTGTTATTAAAGAAAATAGAGGAAAAATAGAGCACCTGTCATGGCTGCAATGCCCATTATGTGTAATTGTCCAAAAGGCTGTTTGTGTCACTGTTTGGATCAATGCTGGAATCAGAAGATATGAGAAAAACAACCAGGTGGATGAAACATATCTGCTTTGTAATAATCAATTATTGGTCTCTCAAAGCTTGTTTTGTCCCCCAAGGGTTCAGTGACAATTGCATGTTAAAAACATGCTGTCGGTGCCTTTTTCAAATGAATTCATATCTTTACGAGGAGTTATTTAATTCCTCTGGGTAAGGCAGGTGACCAGAAAAAGTCAAAGTTCTGACACAGCTGTAAGATTCTGTTGAGATTAGGATTGTGAAATGAAAATGACATTTTTCTATAATTCGGGCGTTCTGCTCTCCCAAAATTTCATCCACTGAGCGGCGCTGTGATCAAAAAATGACACCGTTTGTTGCCCAGTTCACTTCCGGTTGATTTCATACAATGGCGAATATGGCTCACGAAAACAACAAGCGATTGACAGTGCCTGAATTGCGTGAAAGGTTGAAGCGAAAGGGTATTTGCAGTGTGGGAAAACGAAAGGAGGAATTGTTGTTGCTAGTTCAACGAGCGGATGGTGTTTATGAAGATTTAGAAGAAGATGACAGCGAGCAGAGTGAACGAAAACGGCTGTGTGTGCGAGTGACAGATGGTAACAATGAGAATGAAGTTCAGCTAAGAGGGAAGAATGTGAATTGGACGGATGATTTGCGCGATATGCCACTAGTTAGAGACGGGAATGTATTTGCATACAGAAAATGACGAAAACACTCAACCATTTAGAGAAAATGCGCCGGGCAGAGAGAACCGGAAGTTGCGAAGGCAAGTGTTACCCATAATGCAACGCAAAATTCAGTCGCTCCCCCGCCCATCGGATGGAATTTTGGGAGAGCAGAACGCCCGAATTGAACCAGTGATTGTAATAGTGGGCATCGTGGTTCCTTTAATTTTGATCATGGTTGTGTCTCCACCGCTTCAGGATGTTTGTTTTGTAGGTTTTCAGGTGCAGAGGTACTTTTTTTTTACATACAAAGTTGAATAAGGCCTCTTTAAATTTAGCATATGTTCCATAACAGCATGTATAGAGTCACAATACAATATCAAACAAATGTAATTACAATCATTCTGTAATTCAACCTAAAATGTGAAACCCATAAATGATATATACTCATTACATGCAAAGTGAAAAAACAAGCCTTTCTTTGTTTGATTTTTGAAGAAAAGAAGAGATTCGTCTAATTCTTCAAAGACTAATGGTTTTTTATATTTTCCCTGTTCTATAAACAATAACTAAACTAAGCCAAATTCTTCTAAAATCAAGTGTTTTATAAAGGTTTTACCACTTCCCCAGCCTGGTTGGAGCACCTTTCAGCCAAGTGCCATTTTTAGTGACTGAATAACTGCGTAAAGTTCAAGTGAAGGAACCCCGGAGAGCCGTAAACTTTTACACCCAGCATAATATTTAATATCACTTTGAATGTGAAGAGAGAGCACTTGCCTCGCGCCTTTATCCCCCGTTTGCCAATGGACGATGGAGGCGGCAGACCTGCACCACATAAACACATGTTATCAACAGAGGGACAGCGTGCGGCGTCCAACTGGATCAGACAGGACCAGAGGAGGCGGGAAAATGAGGACCAAAAAATAAAATAAAATCATGCAATCACCAGTAATCACTTTTCATTCACAGGTCAATTTGCAACTCAAAAGAACGCAGAATACCAAAGCCGGCGCACTGCAGGTGTAATCAGAAGGGTCATGCACAAGACACGCAGATCACAACACAAGCTTTCAGACCAGTTTGTATCCAAGCATGGAAATTATCTATCATTTCACTCAAAGGTAAAAATAAAACAACAACTTAAAACTCAAGCTAATACTAGTGTCTTGAAATAGAGCGGAGAGCAGATTTCTTTTACAATTATAAGCAGATGGGCAACTGGCTGTTTTGGGGAGAGTGGCAATTTTTTCCAAATAATGTTGACGAGAGGGCAGTAAACTAATAATGTTTTAGCGTGTCTTATAAAACGCAAATAGTTTTCATCGTAAACAGCGACTGATCCAAATTAAGATATCTTATGCCAAAAATACAGTAAATTAGAATAACCATATATGTATAAGTACAACTATATGGAGATGTACGATTCTAAATGCACACTGGGCTCCTGCTACAGTCCAAATTAATAAATACTGCCTCTGGTATATAGGTAAATGGGATTTTTCTCGCTTACGTATACATAACACATTCGATTTTCTTTCAGTATGTCAAACATGCAGTAACCATGGCAACATAATTAATGTCGTTCGTTCACAATCAGAGCGGTTGGCCTGATGTGAGTGGTGAAGACATGTCCTATTCACAATTGTGTCACAACGCTGCATTTACAATGTAACTGAAATGAGACTAATATGGGCCCATTGCTTCACGCTCAATTAAAATGTTTAACGGAAAAAAAGAAAAATGTAGGTTTGCGTCTGCTGAATTTGAAATATTAAGTCACAATTTGAGAAAGTTAAGGGTGATAGGTGGAACTCCAAAAAATTAAGAAAGTCGTTCAAAAATTTAAATATTTCTGTAACACAACTTAAAATGTGAAATCAATGTTCTTCCCTGCCAATTATGAATATCATCTAATCTAAACCAATATATGATATAAAAGTGTTTTCAAGTTTTTCTGTTGTTTAAAGTCAGTTTACCCTAAAGAATCTACGATGTGTCAAAGAACTTGAGCTTGCTGTGTATTTAGTCTGTAATATTTTAGTTTAATACGCAAGCTGAATTACAGAAAAACTATTGTTGTTTCACTTGTAAATGTAAATACTAAGTGAACTGTGTATTTGCATGTTTGGATCAAAATGTTATTTTTTTTATTTAAACTTAACCAGGAAAGTCCCATTGAGATTAAGAACCTATTTTTCAAGGGAGTCCTGGACAAAATGGTTTCACCCACACCCACTGTTCTCAATTTAATTTCTTTGTTGATTTCTTTTCCTTGTCTGTTTTACTCGTAGGATTTGGTAACATTTAATTTGTTGCAATTCGGGCATTTCACTATGATAACATTTGTGCTGTGAAGTGGCAGAAGCAAATCGATTCAGGGAAATGTCAATTAATTTCAAAATGTCATGTCTTTGGACTTTTATTTATTAGATCTTTGTAAATCCATATTTTTGATAAAAATGTTTGTAGCATAAAGTATAAAACAATTACATTATTGTTGGTAAAAACTACTGAACATATGATGTGTCTTCTTACTTCCTACTCCATTTCAGGCTCAAATGTGTACATGTATGTTTGTTCAAATGTACGGATATCTAAAAAGATGCATGATTCAGGATTCAAGAATTTATTGGTCATTTGCAGTAAAACCACATTGGAAAAACTGTGCAAGGCTTATCCCAGTGTGCAACCCCTGGTTGTAATAATAAATACTATATTGTAAATACACATGGAGAAACAACTCAAAATAACAAATACACTAAGTGAAAGTCAAGCTCTGTAAAGACACTTTTGAGATGAGTTTGAAAGACACTAGAAGAACATGCAAATTACCTTGTTGAAATAGGACTTCACTACCGCCGCCGCCCTGCAACCCAGAATAGCTTACGATAGTATGTTTCTACAGTTTTAATCACTGTTGCTGAAGACACATTTGCTCAAGTGAACACATGTCCACCAGTCTCTTAAGGCGGTGGTTTGACCCCGAGCTCATCCACGCTGCTTCCTGATTGGTCGAAATGGATTCAAATCCTTGAAGTCTTTTGTTATTGGTCCAACTGTTCTCCTCCGGCAAATCGTACAGTTTGTAGTTATGCCAAGGGTAGGGACTGTTTTAAAGATATTATTGTTGAAGAATAAATATTGTACATGTTATACAGTACTCCATGATCAGAAATATGCATTATTCTAAAAAATTAATACAGTTAAAGTTTCTTACATCCCTTTTAAGGCGAACCAGACCAACAAGACCAGAATCAGAATCAGAATCAGAATCATTTTTATTGCCACGTGAGTAACAAAGTTATCACTTGGAAATTGTTTTGGCAGAGAGCGTGCCACTTCGCCATTTGCGGCGCTGTGTGCAGCAAGAAACAGCAGAGAGCAATAACATACAGTTCACAGACAATTGGATAGACACATTGTGCTTTTTATAAACCACGGATTTTTTTCTCGGGAAGAGCACCTCTTCGGCCGGCCCAATGTAGCTGTCAGAGGGGGGCGGGATCAGGGAGGGGGTGAGTAGGAAAACAATAAGGAATGGAGGGGAGGGAGGGAGCAAGATGGATAGGTAGAGGGAGGCGGGGGTGGGGGATCCTTGCTGAAGACTGAAGTAGTGTGAGTTGTTGTAGATTGTGGGACCTTGTTTATGGCCTTGGCTGAGGAATGTGAGATAAAAGTGGAGAGAAGCCACAGGAGGAGAAAAACACATCGCCTGCAATGTCGCAGTCAAAAGCAGGCAGATATTCTATTAATTCCAATTAAACCGAATTGCGGCGCCCTCAGACCCCGTACACAGGGGCAAATCCAAGCCGGGTCCAGAGAGTTCAAGCGTGACAAACAATGTCATTCAATCTCAATTCCAAAGTCTTATGTCCATCAAGTGAACGAGCTGCGAGGTCTTTGATCAACTGTTCCACCAAAACCACCCTTCTTTGTCCAGACACGGCACTCTCAACCACGACACGGCTAAGCTCCTTGTACATCCCATCAATTTTATCGGCCAGCAGGTCGTGAATCTTGCGAACTGCCATGCCTCCGAATTTGTGGTAGAAGAGGATCGCTCCAAACCCAAACAGGAGGATTCCCACCACCAAAATGCCAAAGATATATACGTCTTCCGAATCTTCAATGGACAGGGTCGACAGACAGAGGGGCTGCCACTTGTTCCAGCTGTCAAGCGTATACCCCGCCGGTGAGGTCCCGTCCGGACACACGGGCTCTCCAGACCCACGCTTACGTGTTGAAAAGATAGAATCAATTGCGTTGAGGGACCAATTAATCATTTCCATTCTGTTAAAGTTGTCTGTGGCAACGTGGCAAAGCTCCAGGACCAGTCTTGCTCGAAAAAAAAAGACAAAAAACAGGAGATAGCAAGCCGTTCAGAAGCATGGGAGCGGACTAAGACACGTCTTTGCTCGAGGAGGAGGGAGCTCCATCTTACTTTTTCTATCACATTTCTTCCATAGGCCGCGTGCGTCCAGATCTCCTCCATCGCAGGTGTCCCCTTCTGTCTCGGAGGAACGTGTGCAATTAGCACACTGACGGGGCGTGTTTGGAGAACGGTGGGCTCCAACGTGCCATTGTTTTTGCTTCATCTCTCTCTAATTTGGCCTCCCATGGGCTGTGCGAGGTGCGCGAGGTGTTGGCTGCACAGAGCGGAGGAGTCTTTCACACACCCTCATCAAAAACATCTCATAATGCCATGACATTTCTTTGAATGGCAGTTCGCGGCAGCGCCAAACCTTGCGGAAATAGCCCGCGATCTCTTCCCCGATCCCACATTCTTTTGTTTCCCAGACTAAACAAAATCATGACTCAATCTCTGTTGTAATGTGCGCACGATGACAATAAAATTTCCTCACGTGGGTCAAAATAAAGGCAATATCTGATCTTCTCTTATCTTATCTGCCAAACCGTTCTTTATTCTGTGCACCTCTCTACAAATTTTCTTGTCAGGTTGTTTTTAGTCTTCGTGCGAGACATCAAAATGACAAAGCACAAAGCGCGCAGATGAAAAAAAAAATCCAAATTTTGCAGCTGGGAGGAAACGAGAAGCCCTTGGGATGTGGGTAAGCTCTGGGCGGAACAGAGGCAAACAAGGGATAGAGACGGATCTGAGCTGCAGACACATAGAAAAACAGGCAGATGCTATTTCCCACCATAAATTCCACTCATGTGCTGTGTTTATATTCATTCAACAACCTTTTCATCTGTTTTTCAGGTCAAACGGAAACCATATAAGATTCAAATATGGTCATTTCAATCTAAAAAAACAATGCTTTATTCTGTTGTAAGGCATTTTCTCTCTTTTCTGGCATCACCCAGTAGCATTCTATTGTAGCGTTTATCTCCGCCTATTTATAGTGGTCTGTATCTCCACATTGTCAAAAAACACAAAAGACATCTATATTCTATAATAGATGGGACATGGGTTTAGACCATGTGGAGCGATTTTGAGACAAATTGGTGAAACGGCCGAGGAGGAGATAATTTTCAGCGACATGTGTGAAAAATATCAATTTTCATTTTTCCATTTTCCAATTAAATTAATGAGCTTCCTGTCTGTCAGGGGGCGGAGCCATAATAACTTTTTTTTCATGTCTTGACCTGAGGAACATGTGTACCGAATTTCGTGGCTCTACGACAAACTTGACCTTCGACCCCCTCCCCATAGGCGCAATGTAAACTGACTTTTGTAGGGGGCGCTATTCTGACATTTTTTTAGTCCCTTAAAAATAAACACCAAAAAATTAATTTTTCACCGGTTCTGAATTTTGGGCAAAATTTCACAACTTTTCATCAATGTTCAGGGGGTCAAATTAAGGTTCAAAGTCGCAGAAGAAAAAAGAAATAATAAATAATAATAATAATAATAAACCAAGGAATTTTTTTTTAAAATCTTTGAGCAAAAACAATATAGGTTTCCATAGTAACCTATAATACAAATGATACGTCGTTTTAAAGCGAACGACCAGACGAACGCAACTATTGGGTTCTCGGTGATTGACGAGCGCTGACGCGCTCGTCAATCACCTCGCCATCATGAGGTCACCCACCCCCCCCATAGGACCCCATTGATTACAGTGTGTACTACAGCAGGAGCAAAGCCATTCAGTGCCTCCGGCACTGTTTTGTCAGTGTCTGGGCACGCGCCGTCGGGCTTGGGGGACGAATGTCCGGGCTTCGCCCGGACATTCGTCCGTAAAACAGTTGAAGGAACCCCCTTTAATAGGACTTTAATCATTTCACTGTGTACTACAGCAGGAACAAAGCCATTCCGTGCCTCCGGCACGGATTTATCAGTGTCTGGGCACGTGCCGTCGCGTGCAGGTCACAATCTCCGGGCTGCGCCCGGAGATTGTGACTTATGACAGTTCAACGAGTAATGCCTGGCTTCGCCCAGGCATTACTCGTTGGAAAAGCAATAGGCCCTTACCCGGTTGGGCTCGGGCCTAATTACCCCGGTTGGGGCTCGGGCCTAATTAAAGCCGCAAGCGGCATCTAACGGCCCTCGCCGCACCGCGCACCGAGATGGCGCTGACGCGCCATTTTCCCACTGCCCTGATGGGAGCGACACTGTGTAATTTTACTTTCTATGATTAGTGATTGTGTTTCTCTATTCAAAAGATATACCTCATTTTCCCCATGTAACACTTGTATCAGTCTGTAGGGGCGCTACAATGCTGATATTTCATGATTCACACTTTCAGTTTACTCAAACCCAAGAGTTAAACATGTCATTTCAAATTTATGCCAATTGTTTAGTCTTATACCAAAGAAAAAAACACTTGTGGCAAAGTTTTTGGTGAGTTTTTATGTTTGTTATGTGGGTCAAATATGAGATCAAACAAATAAACCCAAATAACTGTATCCCCATGTGAACCTTTACTCAGCCTGTAGGGGGCGCTAATGGGCCAATGTCATTGTTCACACTGTCATGTGACCTAGGCCCAGGAGTTGAACAACCGAGTCAAGTTTAGTTCAAATCAGAGTTTGTAAATGTGCTCCTGTTTGCACATACAATCTGTGGGTGTGTCCACACAGTCTCCATTGGATAACATGAGATTTTCCGCCTCTCTATGAAAATGACCACACTTTTGGGGTCTGTCACGCTGAGACCGTTTGACTAATTAAAACTCTATATGCAACTATTGATGGTCCATGTGTGGAGACCATGTGGAATGATTTTCAGACAAATTAGTGAAACGGCCGTGGCTGGTTTGATGTTTGAGCGAGGTGTACTTTTCAGAAATTTAACAATTTTCTCATAGACACAGACAGGGGAGTGTTGGTCGTTGTCACGGCAACAGGGTATAAAATAATCATATGTTGTCATTGACTTTTTGAATCCAGATGACAAAACAGAATTATGTGCAAAATTTCCAACATTTTGAACAAACTAAGTACGTAAAATTTTGAAAGCGTCTGTAGGGGGCGCTATTGTTGGAATCTCATGTTTTAAACTTTTACTTTACCAAAACCCAAAAGTTGAACAACCGTTTAAAACTTGTGTAAATCGGACTTAGTATGTGCACACGGTGGCTATAAACTTTGTAGAATAGCGCCCCCTAGTATTTTTTTTTTAGCGTTATACAAATGAACACCTAAATAATACATGTTATGTCAAAACAAAACTTGTGGCCAAATTTGGTAAGTTTTCATGCATGTTCAGGGGGTCAAATATGAGATCAAACAACAGAAAACTTGTTCTTTCCCAGGTATTCCTGGCAAAAAACAAGTATAATTAAAGCCGCAAGCGGCATCTAACGGCCCTCGCCGCACCACGCACCGAGATGGCGCTGACGCGCCATTTTCCCACTGCTCTGATGGGAGCGACACTATGTAATTTTACTTTCTATGATTAGTGATTGTGTTTCTCTATTCAAAAGATATACCTCATTTTCCCCATGTAACACTTGTATCAGTCTGTAGGGGGCGCTAATGCTGATATTTCATGATTCACACTTTCAGTTTACTCAAACCCAAGAGTTAAGCAGTCATTTCAAATTGTGTGCAAATCGGACTTTGTATGTGCAAACGGAAGGCATTTATGTTGTAAAACAGCGCCCCCTACAATTTCAATTGTTTAGTCTTATACCAAAGAACACCAAAATAATACACTTTATGCCTGAAAAAAACTTGTGGCAAAGTTTGGTGAGTTTTCATGTTTGTAAAGTGGGTCAAATATGAGATCAAACAAATAAACCCAAATAACTGTATCCCCATGTGAACCTTTACTCAGCCTGTAGGGGGCGCTAATGGGCCAATGTCATTGTTCACGTCCCATTGTGATTAAGAACCTATTTATCATGGGAGTCCTGGACAAAATGGTTTCAACCCACACCCAATGTTCTCCATTTAATTTCTTTGTTGATTTCTTTTCCATTTCTGTTTTACTCGTAGGATTTGGTAACATTTAATTTGTTGCAATTCGGGCATTTCACTATGATAACATTTGTGCTGTGAAGTGGCAGAAGCAAATCGATTCAGGGAAATGTCAATTAATTTCAAAATGTCATGTCTTTGGACTTTTATTTATTAGATCTTTGTAAATCCATATTTTTGATAAAAATGTTTGTAGCATAAAGTATAAAACAATTACATTATTGTTGGTAAAACTACTGAACATATGATGTGTCTTCTTACTTCCTACTCCATTTCAGGCTCAAATGTGTACATGTATGTTTGTTCAAATGTACGGATATCTAAAAAGATGCATGATTCAGGATTCAAGAATTTATTGGTCATTTGCAGTAAAACCACATTGGAAAAACTGTGCAAGGCTTATCCCAGTGTGCAACCCCTGGTTGTAATAATAAATACTATATTGTAAATACACATGGAGAACAACTCAAAATAACAAATACACTAAGTGAAAGTCAAGCTCTGTAAAGACACTTTTGAGATGAGTTGAAAGACACTAGAAGAACATGCAAATTACCTTGTTGAAATAGGACTTCACTACCGCGCCGCCCTGCAACCCAGAATAGCTTACGATAGTATGTTTCTACAGTTTTAATCACTGTTGCTGAAGACACATTTGCTCAAGTGAACACATGTCCACCAGTCTCTTAAGGCGGTGGTTTGACCCGAGCTCATCCACGCTGCTTCCTGATTGGTCGAAATGGATTCAAATCCTTGAAGTCTTTTGTTATTGGTCCAACTGTTCTCCTCCGGCAAATCGTACAGTTTGTAGTTATGCCAAGGGTAGGGACTGTTTTTAAAGATATTATTGTTGAAGAATAAATATTGTACATGTTATACAGTACTCCATGATCAGAAATATGCATTATTCTAAAAAATTAATACAGTTAAAGTTTCTTACATCCCTTTTAAGGCGAACCAGACCAACAAGACCAGAATCAGAATCAGAATCAGAATCATTTTTATTGCCACGTGAGTAACAAAGTTATCACTTGGAAATTGTTTTGGCAGAGAGCGTGCCACTTCGCCATTTGCGGCGCTGTGTGCAGCAAGAAACAGCAGAGAGCAATAACATACAGTTCACAGACAATTGGATAGACACATTGTGCTTTTTATAAACCACGGATTTTTTTCTCGGGAAGAGCACCTCTTCGGCCGGCCCAATGTAGCTGTCAGAGGGGGGCGGGATCAGGGAGGGGGTGAGTAGGAAAACAATAAGGAATGGAGGGGAGGGAGGGAGCAAGATGGATAGGTAGAGGGAGGCGGGGGTGGGGGATCCTTGCTGAAGACTGAAGTAGTGTGAGTTGTTGTAGATTGTGGGACCTTGTTTATGGCCTTGGCTGAGGAATGTGAGATAAAAGTGGAGAGAAGCCACAGGAGGAGAAAAACACATCGCCTGCAATGTCGCAGTCAAAAGCAGGCAGATATTCTATTAATTCCAATTAAACCGAATTGCGGCGCCCTCAGACCCCGTACACAGGGGCAAATCCAAGCCGGGTCAGAGAGTTCAAGCGTGACAAACAATGTCATTCAATCTCAATTCCAAAGTCTTATGTCCATCAAGTGAACGAGCTGCGAGGTCTTTGATCAACTGTTCCACCAAAACCACCCTTCTTTGTCCAGACACGGCACTCTCAACCACGACACGGCTAAGCTCCTTGTACATCCCATCAATTTTATCGGCCAGCAGGTCGTGAATCTTGCGAACTGCCATGCCTCCGAATTTGTGGTAGAAGAGGATCGCTCCAAACCCAAACAGGAGGATTCCCACCACCAAAATGCCAAAGATATATACGTCTTCCGAATCTTCAATGGACAGGGTCGACAGACAGAGGGGCTGCCACTTGTTCCAGCTGTCAAGCGTATACCCCGCCGGTGAGGTCCCGTCCGGACACACGGGCTCTCCAGACCCACGCTTACGTGTTGAAAAGATAGAATCAATTGCGTTGAGGGACCAATTAATCATTTCCATTCTGTTAATGTTGTCTGTGGCAAAGCTCCAGGAAAAAAGACAAAAACAGGAGATAGCAAGCCGTTCAGAAGCAGGAGCGGACTAAGACACGTCTTTGCTCGACGGAGGAGGAAGTGAGAAGGCGCACCTTTTCTCCTTGACTTTCAACACCAGGTAGCAAATGACAAGTTATTTTTATTCATTTTATTTTGATTTGATATTTTGATATTCATTTGTTATTTTTATTCTCGCTTTAACTTGCTTTGGTAAGCCTATGGTGTTTTAAAATGTGTTTTACAAATATTGATTTATGGATTGCTATTAATGTGTGAACCAGCCAGATTGAGAATGCGAAAAGGCATAGGGGTTGGCATGATATAGTTATAAACCAAGATTTTATAGGAATAATGATCAGAAAAAGCATGGGCATGATACTATACTAATTTATCCAACTGCCTATAGCGCTTTCTAATGAAGCCGTAATCTTGCCCGAGCCTCATTATTCTTGTTTCTATCACATTTCTCTCCATAGGCCGCGTGCGTCAGATCTCCTCCATCGCAGGTGTCCCCTTCTGTCTCGGAGGAACGTGTGAATTAGCACACTGACGGGGCGTGTTTGGAGAACGGTGGGCTCCAAAGTGCCATTGTTTTTGCTTCATCTCTCTCTAATTTGGCCTCCCATGGGCTGTGCGAGTGCGCGAGTGTTGGCTGCACAGAGCGGAGGAGTCTTTCACACACCCTCATCATAAACATCTCATTAATGCCATGACATTTCTTTGAATGGCAGTTCGCGGGCAGCGCCAAAACTTGCGGAAATAGCCCCGCGATCTCTTCCCCCGATCCCAACATTCTTTTGTTTCCCAGACTAAACAAAATCATGACTCAATCTTCTGTTGTAATGTGCGCAACGATGACAATAAAATTTCCTCACCGTGGGTCAAAATAAAGGAATATCTGATCTTATCTTATCTTATCTGCCAAACCGTTCTTTATTCTGTGCACCTCTCCTGACAAATTTTCTTGTCAGGTTGTTTTTAGTCTTCGTGCGAGACATCAAAATGACAAAGCACAAAGCGCGCAGATGAAAAAAAAAATCCAAATTTTGCAGCTGGGATGAAACGGAGAAGCCCTTGGGATTGTGGGTAAGCTCTGGGCGGAACAGAAGGCAAACAAGTGGATAGAGACGGATCTGAGCTGCAGACACATGATAACAGGCAGATGCTATTTCCCACCATAAATTCCACTCATGTGCTGTTTATATTCATTCACAACCTTTTCATCTGTTTTTCAGGTCAAACGGAAACCATATAGATTCAAAATATGGTCATTTCAATCTAAAAAAACAATGCTTTTATTCTGTTTGTAAGGCATTTTCTCTCTTTTCTTGCATCACCCAGTAGCATTCTATTGTAGCGTTTATCTCCGCCTATTTATAGTGTCTGTATCTCCACATTGTCAAAAAACACAAAAGAAAAAGGCTCGCTAGTATTTCTCCTATTGTCCACGGCTGCTTCTGTGCGCTCATTTACAAACATTGCCCTTTATTGAAATGTCACCGTTTGAGAAAAGCTTGTGATTAAAAATGCAGTCCAGCTTTCAGTCACTGTCATCTCGGAACTATTTACCATCCACCGAATGACCCATAATTCCATCGCACCATCCAGGCTCTCTATATGAACTTCCGACATGAATTTAGTGAGATGTTGCAGCGTTGTTCCCACTGCTCAGGAAATTGACTGGTAATGTGTCCTGCAGACTGCGATAGAAAAGATAAATACGTTTCATATGGCTTTTGATTCTGTTAAGTTGTTTTTGAGTTGATCGCGTTAACACAATATGCAATTTTTCAATGTCAAGAGCTGCTTTCTCAGACTGCAGCTGCGTTTGTGCCGCAAACTTTGGCTTTACTTGCTCTCTGCTTTCCACTGTGCTTTGTTTCTTGATGAAGGTGGTCAAAAACAATCTTTGGGTAAACACTTGAAATACACAGTTTCCACTTCATCCCAAATCAAACATTGAAAGCCTCAAAGCTGCTATAGAGATCAACTCTGCAAACAAGTCAAGTTCACTCTACTTTAAGTGACTTAGCGCATTCAACTGCAAAATGTTGAGTAAACAGGTTTTTATGACTTTATGCAGCGGTGGAATCAGGGTCAAACCCAAGCCCATGACTTTGAAATGTGAAATGGAGGTATGAGAATTTTCAGGCTTTTCAGAATTCCAGTTAGCACTAAAACGCTTTTCATGAAAATGAATGTTCAAATGCATGGATTCAGATTGTAAGATAAAGTAGCGATGTGTAAGATTTTCATATAATTTTATGTCAAGTTTACATTAGATGGCCCTAATCTGTCAAAAGGCTTTAATAAACCATGCTATTTTCCAATACTTCTTTAACTGATAACAGGAGCTCAGTCGAGGAACTTGAATTTCAAAATTAGTTTTACAGCCCCTATATCGTGTTATTGTTTTGATTTCGATGTTCCGCCCTCCATTGTTTTATCAATCAGAAAGTCTGTGATCCGGGTTGCCAGAACTCAGCGCGTCGAACTAATCTCACTGGTAAAGTAACATGTGGCCACAAAACTAAAAAATCTCAAAATTCTCAAATTATTAATGACAAAACAAGGAATAAAACGAGGATTTCAATCGGGGCCTTGGTTATAGATTTGTTGTTTACAAAACTCTTGTATATTCAGTTATTATTGTCCCAGTTAGATTTGTCTGCATATCTGGCAACCTGAGTCAGGGAGAGTGGGAGAGATTGCAGCACTACTTTGGCCAGATTTCAACATTCTGCTCCTTTTGAAGCTTGTTTTTTTTAAATAAAAATAAGGATTTTTGTTTTTTCCAACAGAAAGGGTAAAAGTAAAATATTGAAAACAAATGAGATTATAACATGTATGTCTTTATCGTATTTAGGAGCATTTTACCTTTTTGCAAACTTGTAAGAAAGAGCCCTGTGAGCCAAGTTTTGAAGCTTTGAGCTGAGACCTGATTGGTGGTCCCCTCTTAAAAAATTAAAATAAAGAGCTCAATCTAGCTCATCTAAACGTTTTTTGTGGCTCTTTAGAAAGATAAGTTTGGCGAACAAGATTTTACTGTAGCTAATCTAAAGCTGTCACAGAGGCAAAAAAAGACATGCAGCTTAAAACTAGAGATAGAACCAAATGATTTTGACAGTGATTAGCTAAGATTCTGTTGGATATGCTTCAGCTTTAAGTGTGAGTGCTCAAAGTGCTCTAAGTTATTCTTGATGCACTTAAAGTATTTTTTGCAGAGAATTATACAAATGGCTAAAAGAATACATATATTTGACAAGTTAAGTACTGGAAAATGAATAGGGAAAAGTATACATGAGAGTCCTGCTAGGGAGAGGGAGTGAGCTTTGAATGTTTGCTTTCTAAAAATATTCTTAAACCGTAAACTACCTTTGACTCTATTTACTATAGTTTGGTAAATATACTTTTAACGGTGTATTGGATCCAAATTATACACCCAGTCCCCTGCAGTGCTGAAGCATGTGGGGTAGCATATGTTAATGTGAGGGTACCTGTCTCTCGAACCACAAAAAAATGATGTCATGAAATGCAGCTACGTAGTGAGTCTGTCTCTTAGCATTTTAGTCATTAGTTTTCACATGCATGCTTTTTTGGCCTTTGTCACACCTTTAGATCTGCTTTTTCAGACAGAAAAGTTAAAAAGGACTATCAAATATCTTTCTTACATGTACTGTAGGCAAAAGATAACAGGTTTTCTAATACGGTAAAAACAGCATTTTGTGGTATGACAAAAATATAAAATTATACTTTCTAGACAAGGCTCTTTCTGTTGGGTAAAACAAAACAAAATTATGAAACAAAAAAGTTGAATAATCCAGTTTCTACAGTACAGTGCCATTTCTGCCTTATGAATTAAACACACCACCAGAATTACACTTAAATACATCCACAATTGAGCGGTGCGATATGATATACATTCTAGTGTGTGTGGGTCATAATTTCATTATATTTATGGTCTGGAACACGACATGCCAAAACTGCATAACGATTTAATGTCATAGGCCAACAGCAGACAATAAAACATCAGTGCTATTATATACGGCAAGTCAGCCCTGAATCACTCCACGTCACACATGCTCACGAGCTAAATCCTGCTGAACATTTTAGGCAGAGAGCAGGTGGCGTTTGTGTTGCCAGATCCACATACTGTCGCACATATCGAGCGACAGGGCGCAGTTCTTTTGACAGCCGCACCGTCAACCCGCTGTGTTTAATTGCATTACCAAGCTCACTCATCTTTGTATGATAAAATTTGTTGTAATCATGTATTTCAGGTATTTAATTCTCAAACAATAAAAGGCATTACCAAGACATGCCGTTTGAAAATCATGCTGAAAAAATGACGTTAGTGTTATTTGTTTTTTTTACCAGGCGATAAACAATTGGGGTCGTCACAATATGAAGTGTACTCTTTGGATGAGATGGTTGAGGCGGAGATGGGAGGGTGGAGAGTAAGGGATGGGTGGAGGAGGGAGGAGAGCAGTTATGATGAGTGAGAAAACGGTTTATCCACATAGCAGAAGAGGATAGACCTGCCATGTGAGCGTGGTGGAGGTGGTGGAGGTGGAGGTGGTGGTGGTGGTGGTGGTGGTGACAGTTGGTATATGGCTGCGCTAAAGGTCATCATTACGGAAAATCAACTAATGCTATGCGCTGCTGAAACGCCAATAGTGTAAAAGTCACTGAGGCTGTTTTCTCTCCTCACTGCTTCATTAGCTACGAATGTATCTGTCCAAACTGTTCCATCTTACTGTTGCATTATGGATTTGAGTTTTCGCCGGTGCCAGTGCTTTGCTACATGTTTTTTGACAACTTACGACCCTTACTCCTTACTTTCAAACCCATATGTCTGTACTTCCTTGTTTGTACTTATTAAAATGACAGCTTACTTTGCAGAAACAACAACAACAACATAATAACAGAATTGAAGTGGTTAGCTTTGTGAATTACTAATTATATCACAGTAATTAGCCATGCTTCTATTTTCAGATTACCATGCGATTTAAAATCTATGCGTTTTATTGTGAACCCATAGACGACAGGGCAACAGTAGCTCAGTTGGTACTGAGCTACTCCCACCGACTCCCACTGATGTCTGCTGTCGTTGTGTCCTCGGGTAAGAGACTTAACCCCACTTTGCCCGAAGCCCCCGCAGAAACATCAAGGCTATGCTCAAACTTACAGAGCAGCCGTCCTCCTGTGGACTCACCACCTGCAGGAGGATCAGTGAGGGGCGGGTGCTATATGACTTGGGTGGCATCTCTGGCCTCCCCCCGACCCAGAAATGGATTAAGGGGTAGAAAATGGATGGATGGATGGATGGATGGATAGGTGTTTTATTGTCACATTCTCTGTCAGTTTAAAGATGGATCTTTCATAAATACATTTTTTTTTGTCCCAACAGAAAGAGTCTTGTTTAGGTAAATGTTTAAACAAATCCGACTACAACATGCTGTCTTTATCCCACTCAAAATGTTCTTATTATCTTTTACATACTGAAAGCTGATTGGCTGGCTCACTTTTTCACTGAAAAAGCTAAACTTGTGAAGTTGTGTGAACTTCTGATGCGACAGGGGACAAAAATATGTGTGAAAACCAGTGATAGAACCAAACCGTTTTGAGAGCAAAAAGCAATAATGTCTTGTGTTTTTAAAGTGATCAACTGCAGCTTTAAGAATGACATTAAACATGATGTGCTATTGTTTAAGGCCACAGTATATCTCTGGATTAATAAAGGTTGCTTATTTTTTCAGTTTAATATTTGCACCATGGACACTTAAGCACATGTTGCGATAAACCAACAGCCTTGTGATATAAAAGACCATCTGTGCCGGTGTTAAAGCCAAAAAAAACACCCACAGTCTTATATTTCAAGGCTAGCTGCTCTTTTTTCGCATTAAGTAACTGAGACAAAGAACTAAAAAGATCAATAAGGTCATGGCAACGCATTAAGAGAGGAATTTAGAGTCGGTTTTATCTACAGAATGTTGGCAGTGTATAGGCTGAATCTGGACGATCTCTGTAACAGTTTTTTCAATGGCTACTTCATATCGAGTTAGTACAACGTCTTTGGCCGGTGAAATCGTGTACATTTTTTAATTTAAAGCTGGGGCAAGATGAGCCACGCAGTACAATCCCTCTGGTACTGGCTTTCACATGCATATACAGCAACATTTTTAATCATTCTTAAAACATCTTATAATAGCTACCATTGCTCTTTTTTACAGCTAAAAAGTGGCACCACCTGCATTTGAAAAAGCCTGAATCCAGCAGACCTAAGAAGCTAAGCAAAGTGGGTCCTGGTTAGTGCTGTGATGGGAGAACTCTGTGAACACCAGGTTCTAAAGTGAGGTGGCTCTATTGTTCCAAACTGTTTCTTAAACTTCACCCACTTTGCCTAGAAGTCTGGTGTGAGCGTGAATGGCTTGTAGTGGTCGGAAAGTTTACAAAAGATAACGTGTTTTCTAATAAAAATGAATACTGCATGTTGTAGTCTGATTTTACGTTTGCAAGACACTATCCGTTGGGACAAACAGTGTAACAATGTATAATTTATTATGTTTGTTTATGGACATTTATCAACACTTACATTGGTCATCTGCCCCTAATAGACCATTATCAATGTGTTTTTTCGGTTTAATTTCTTGTGTTTGAACTACTTGATTTTCTGATCTATGTTGGCAAATTCAACGGTTGTGCAAAATCCGCTGAGATAACTACAGTTGTGATTTAGGGCGATACAAGAATATATTGAATTGAATTGAACTCTCTCAAGTTTTAACTCTCTCGCACAAAGGAGTGGGAGCAGAATGGCTGAATTATATACGCTGCATGAAGCTAAAGAGCTGAAGCATTCACGTTGCATTTAAGTCAATCGAATCAATAATACCTCGTTTATAAAATGTCAACATACTGTACGTGGAGGTCAGAACAGAACTGCTCAGACAGTTTCTATCGACCACGGCTCACTTATGCCTGCAACAACATTTAATTGCCTGAAATACAATACAAACCAGATTACGACATGTTTATGAAAGAGGATTTTGTTGACAGATGACATAGTGCAAGTGAAGCCGTTTTTATTTCTTTGGCAAAATCAAAAGCAATGTAGTTACGCCATAACAAAGCGGCGTCTGAATCGTTGTTGATCGCATTATGCAAGAAACAAATGAGCAAAGTTTGTCGATCATAATTGGAACTACAGAGGCGTGTGTGACGGGTGATTCACACACACTTCTGCCATATAGTGTTGTAATCTTGAGAAAAAATAAGTCACTCTTATCTCATGACAATGGCGTAATTAAAGTCTGATCACAGAAAATGAAATTTGATCAGTGCAGCCAATTAAGTCGCGAGCTGCAGATAAGCCGATTGGGGGTGCCAGAAATGGATATGCTATACAGTATACGTTTCTCTATAGAGCCCGAGCTGCATAATTAGGATATAAGAGTTTTAAAGTGCTTTGTGAGTCTAATTAGCGACAAACGTGTGTACCTATAGCCTATTATGTTGTGGCTGATGGGAATAAGGAGATGCAGATGTGTGATTACAGGAAACTTCCATGGGGCGACCAAATCAGGGATTACTGAGTGTAAATATATGTGATATAGATTTTATTATCTATTCAGTCTAACAGGGGCGTCTTCAGTCTCTATGGGTTCATTGAATTAGCTTTGTGTGTCCTATCATTTCACTTTCAAATTCAAATTGTACAGTTGCGAAAGTATTCGGCCCCCTTGAACCTTTCAACGTTTCGCCACATTTCAGGCTTCAAACATAAAGATATAAAATTTTAATTTTTTGTCATGAATCAACAACAAGTGGGACACAATCGTGAAGTGGAACGAAATTTCTTGGATAATTTAAACTTTTTTAACAAATAAAAAACTGAAAAGTGGAGCGTGCAATATTATTCGGCCCCTTTACTTTCAGTGCAGCAAACTCACTCCAGAAGTTCAGTGAGGATCTTTGAATGATCCAATGTTGTCCTAAATGACTGATGATGATAAATAGAATGCACCTGTGTGTAATCAAGTCTCCATATAAATGCACCTGCTCTTTGATAGTCTCAGGGTTCTGTTTAAAGCGCAGAGAGAACCATGAAGACAAAGGAACACACCAGGCAGGTCCGAGATACTGTTGTGGAGAAGTTTAAAGCCGGATTTGGATACAAAAAGATTTCCCAAGCTTTAAACATCTCAAGGAGCACTGTGCAAACAGTTATATTGAAATGGAAGGAGTATCAGACCACTGCAAATCTACCAAGACCCGGCCGTCCCTCCAAACTTTCATCTCAAACAAGGAGAAGACTGATCAGAGATGCAGTCAAGAGGCCCATGATCACTCTGGATGAACTGCAGATAACTACAGCTGAGGTGGGAGAGTCTGTCCATAGGACAACAATCAGTCGTGCACTGCACAAATCTGGCCTTTATGGAAGAGTGGCAAGAAGAAAGCCATTTCTCAAAGATATCCATAAAAAGTCTTGTTTAAAGTTTACCACAAGCCACCTGGGAGACACACCAAACACGTGGAAGAAGGTGCTCTGGTCAGATGAAACCAAAATCGAACTTTTTGGCCACAATGCAAAACGATATGTTTGGCGTAAAAGCAACACAGCTCATCACCCTGAACACACCATCCCCACTGTCAAACATGGTGGTGGCAGCATCATGGTTTGGGCCTGCTTTTCTTCAGCAGGGACAGGGAAGATGGCTAAAATTGATGGGAAGATGGATGGAGCCAAATACAGGACCATTCTGGAAGAAAACCTGTTGGAGTCTGCAAAAGACCTGAGACTGGGACGGAGATTTATCTTCCAACAGGACAATGATCCAAAACATAAAGCCAAATCTACAATGGAATGGTTCACAAATAGACGTATCCAGGTGTTAGAATGGCCAAGTCAAAGTCCAGACCTGAATCCAATCGAGAATCTGTGGAAAGAGCTGAAGACTGCTGTTCACAAACGCTCTCCATCCAACCTCACTGAGCTCGAGCTGTTTTGCAAGGAAGAATGGGCAAGAATTCCAGTCTCTCGATGTGCAAAACTGATAGAGACATACCCCAAGCGACTTGCAGCTGTAATTGCAGCACTACACTACAAAGTATTAGCGCAAGGGGGCCGAATAATATTGCACACCCCACTTTTCAGTTTTTTATTTGTTAAAAAAGTTTAAATTATCCAAGAAATTTCGTTCCACTTCACGATTGTGTCCCACTTGTTGTTGATTCTTGACAAAAAATATAATCTTTATATCTTAATGTTTGAAGCCTGAAATGTGGCGAAATGTTGAAAGGTTCAAGGGGGCCGAATACTTTCGCACTGTATATGAGGTTTATCATGTGTAAAAAGTACAAGTATAAGTTGGGGTTCGTTTTGTTGTCTTGATTTTGCAACAAGATAAAATATACTTATTTCATGGACTGCATTCTTGTTGTTTTCAGTTACTTTCTGTGTGTAGGGTGGGAGTCCTGCGTTTGAATCATAGACGGTAAATATTAACGGACGTAGTCAACCCTATATCCGCCGTTCAAACTAATGTGCAACCACTTCTGTGGGCTTTTGGAAAATGGCCGCGGGGGCAGGAAAATGTGAAGAAACGCATTTGTGCATGAATTAGTGCAATCTCGATCAGGCTGGGGCCTTTCTGTGGAGTTTGCATGTTGTTCGCATGTGCTGGGCGCTGCACTGTGGCGGCCACTGCTCCTGGCTGCCTTTATACAGTATCTTGGCTGATGGGAGAAACCGGAGTGCACAGAGGTAACCCACCTAGACATAAAGAGATACATGCAAAATCCACACACAAAAAACGATTTATTTTTGTGTGCTTTGAAATGAATAAATGGATACATAACTACACTTGCTACGAGGCATAAGGACTAAGTCAATGTAATGACAACGCATTGACCTTCTCCGCTCTATACTTTTGGATATACTCCGGCATATTTTATAATCTTTATAGCATTCCATCCATTGCTCATTACTGTCATTATTTTATTACTTACTAAAACTTGCTGTCATCTGCAGCATCCACCAAAAGTTATGCGTGCATCTTTAAATTCTTGATTAGATGTTGAAGGGTTGTAATTGTTGTCCAATGTGATTATTACAGAACAGTTCTGTTCTACAGGCGGATAACCTCCGTGCATTCTGAACAGTTGTCTGTTTTCTCATCTTTTTGGCCTTGGCTCGCCTCATGCATCTCAATCAATTCACCAACATTATATTTGTGAATTTATTTTGTCCACAGATTAGCAAGCAACAAAAAAAATGCTTTTAAAATGTAAAGCTTTTTATATAATTATGTGTATTCAAGCTCAGTAAATTAAAATAGATTATAGCCCACTAAACTATGGCAAAATTGCAGCTCAGCTCAAATTATTTCATAGCTTTTACATCTGAAGGGAAATGGCTTTGGAACTTTTTGGTACTGATTCAGGGAACAAAGTTATAATCACTGACCAATCAAGCGGCAAGGTCCATGCTGAACCATTTAATTAGTTCTAACTTTTGCTCAGCTCGCTTTGTCTGCATATCTGAAAATAATTGGAATATGATGACCTTCACAAGATACTGTCACTTGTAAAATACGCGCCATAAATGTTGAATGTGAAATGGTGTTTAATATGAATGATGTATAGATGTCTTGGGTGAGAGTGGGGGACTTTAGAAAACGCTTTAGAAACAACAACATTATCATCACAATACAATGGAAACATCATTATTAAATGGTAAAAATATGAAATGACTTGAGAAGTGAGAGACACAGGTTGTAATCTCTGTACCTGACAGAGTGGTGTAGTCGAGCAGGTCAAAAAGCACAATGGCGACCCCCAACCATGTTATGATGAGAGCGATCATGAGGAGCCAGGCCATGGGGGAGCTGAAGGTGACCACCAGCTCCTGCAGGAAGCCCCTCTGAGAGCTCCCGGCCGCCGAGTCACACTCTTTGGTCTGGCTGCCCATTGGTTCAGTGACCTGCAAGTCAAAACACACGTTGTTATTTAAAGCTGGAGGGAAAAAAGAAATATTCAAATCCGATCTGGCACAAAGGAGAAGGCAAGTGTACTGTAGGGTTTGCTATTTGCTATTTGGTAATGCCATTTTTCTGGCATAAAAGATTCTATGTCCCCCATTGCCCATGCAGGGCTATTAAAGGAGATTGACTGTTTTGAGCTTAACCATGCCAACATTGTTCTTTCATCAAAAATAGACCTGAAGTTGATTTTAGATCCATCCACGCTTATATCAGGAACTTCTGGCACAAACATGTAAGCCTGTTATACCTAAAAGCTCCTGTCTCAGTTCTATAATAGTATGATGTGATTGTACCATTATTACATCCTATTCATAACATGCATCATAACAAATGTATAATCCCATAATGCCCATAATCTAGTTTTGCCAATCTCACAGGTGAAATTATGTTATTTAAAACATACAACAACAAAAAATTTGGACTCCTCCCTCTGGTGGTAGCATAGGGAGTTACAAACAGAAAGCATTTTTTACCCTTCATTCATATTATACTGATATTATTTCACAAATTAAAACATGAAATGACAACCTAGAAAGTCTCATTATAAAATATTAATGGCCAAAAACAATGTGGGATTTTTTGTTAGACTTTTCCCAAAAATTGAGCACAGCATAACTTCAAAATCTACTATCCCGGTTGAGTAATGCACTCATCCAAAACTTAGCTTAAATTTCAAACTTGATGAATTGAGATGATTGTGTTATGTAGCATTGTGAGTTCATACTTTACTGTCGTTGTGCCTGTGTGTGAAATGAGATTTATTTTACTACAAGCCTTCGGTAAATCATTGATTTTGCATTAGGAGAACAATCAATGAAAGAATTAAGATATGGACCAATACTCGGGTCATTATTGCCTTGAGATGCAGCAAGTAACCTTAACCCTTTTATTTATTACAAGCAGAGATTAAAAACCAAAACCCTAAACATGTTCACTTGTTTAAAGAGATACACCGAATTCAAAACAAAGATTTAAATCCAGTTGGGAAGCAACACATAGCTGCACTTGTTAGCTGACAAAGTGAGCTTTAAATGCCCTTTTTATACGCGCAAGTGCCTTGTAATCATTTTTGAAGCCGTGTGCCCTTTTGATTAGTGACATAATGATATAGATCCCAGTGCGCACTAAATAGCTGAACCCGCAAGATCTGTGCAGCCTCAGAACTGCTCACCTCACCTTTTTAAAAACCCATGAGGTGAAAAAAATGCATATTAAAATCAGTCACTTAAACGCATTACCATCAAGTGCGATTGCGTAGGCGTATGGTGTTTTAATTGCACGAAAGCTGACGCAAAAAAAAACGGCGAGATGCTATCGATAGTCCATTTAACTCACCATATTGGATTGTATTGAGAGAGCCTCCCACTATGCGACGCATGCGATTTGAATCTGTACTTGACAGAGAGTAATTGCCAAAACAGCATGAAAGTGGCACATCTTTGAGCGCGTCTATGGCTTGAAAAATGACTGCACGCATGTAAGCTACTGTTCTGATTAATACACACAAAGCTTTTACGCGCTCAGTGAATAATTCAGGACGGTTTGCGTGTGGAAACAACAAGAGTGAGAAGAGATGAGCAGACCAAGATTACCCCAGGTGATGAGGAGATTAAATTCCATCAAAGTTTGAAAAAATCTATTCAACAAGACAAACGACTTCTCTAAAGAAATTCCTCATTGTTGTATGGCCGCGGTGAAGGGGTGCCGTAATGCCATTATAGCCGTTGTTGGCTTGTTTGTGTTCATTATGCGTGATGAGTCTGCAAAAGAAGATTTATTTTGTCTAGTACATCTTCTAAGTGATAGCCACAACACGATGATAGGCAGACCTGTTATTTATGAGTCCCAGTGGAAGACGCCCCAAACTAACGACACAATCCACTCCTAACAAGATGTGATTTAGACTGTCACGTTATAATCAACAAATTATATATTACCAAGAAATGCAAACCAAGATGATGCTGATCAATGGACTCCAATTTTATTTCGACGGGGCACTGTGGCAAACAACACCAGACATTATTCCCAACATATTTATTCATGGGTTTCCGCTTCCTGTTTCATGCAACAATTTAAGGACCTTTTTTCCCATTCAATTTCTTGGGGATTATCAACAGTCCTCATTTTTCATCATCGTGAAACCCATGGATAGGTGCGATGAATAGCTTTTCTGCCACCTGCTAGTCTCCATATCGTTTTCCTTCTTTCTGGAATGGAACTGCTTCAACGTATGAAAATAGGAATTGATCGTTTCCGCTACGCATACAACAGCAGGTGCAATACAACAGCCTCAGTCTGTTTGTCTATTTCCTGATGCATCATTGAAACACGCATCAGTGCAGATAATTGGATATGAATGGTCAGTACCGAGGGACCAGACTGACATCCTCCGCATATAACAGAGAACCTACGTCTAATTAGCCAGCATCAGCACCATGGCAACAAAGCCTCCTTTTTAACTAACCAGCCGTTCCCCAAGTCTTTGTCATTATGTGTTAACGCTACTTTAAACCTCAAACCAATCCCTTCCCACCCGCAGAAGCAGCACCATGGGCCTCCTCAGCCTCTCCACGGCTCAAGGGGAAAAGATTCTACAAATAAGTAACTCTTTCTAAGCCAAGGGCGGACATTTAGGCTGTAAATCCCAACCGTTCCCTGCTAAGGACGTCAATTATACATCATTAGGACTTCATTATTAACGCGTTAGAATTAAGTGTGTCATGGGTGTCCTGCATAACTTGATATAAATGTCTCTGTGTAAAGTACAGGCAGGGAACATGTATTTGCAGCTCAGTAGCTTAGGAAACTCTTGATGTAAAAAAGTGATTGCTGTCTATATGGTCTGCATCATAGAGCATAGAAGGAGTGGGCTAACTGACTCCTGACGTCAAAGTGTTTGTAGTAAAGTGGAAGATGCCGATTAAACTCTAACAGGCTCCATGAGCAGGAATTTAGAGCCAAATTTTGTGGCTGGAAATAACCTAGCAACCAAACAGCCAATCAGGAGCAGGCAATGGTTGATCACTTTCATGCTACTTGCTAGCTAAAGCAGAAGTTGGGGTCAGTTGTCAGCGCTCATATCCAAATTTCCAAAGACAGTTTAAAAATGAAAACACAAGGATAATACAGAACTTTAAACCACATTGTTCGGTCAAAATGGTGAATGTGGCATAAACAGTTACAGAGCTAGAGGACTTTACTATTCTATGTCTGTGATTGGGAGCCAAAGCGAGTGCAAAACTTTGCCTCTTGACCTTCCCTCAGCTTCATAGAGCTAGCGGGTTAGCATCGTCCATCTGTGGTCTGCACACTCCAGGCACTGAAAATTGTGAAAGGTTTTTATAAATGTATGAACTTTGATTTAGAAAGTGTGAGGAGATAGAATTGGACCACTGCAAATAGAAATATAATGAATAATACTTTGTGTTTGAAGGCACTGGGCCTATGAATTAATTTAAATGTTTTTTGTAGTGTAGTTGTAGTCTTCTGAATTACATAATTTACAGTTCTTTCTTTAGATGTTGTGAAAAATATTCCATAGAGTGTAAGTGTCTTTAAGTTCAGCTCATTCAACCCAATTTGATTTGACTTTGTACATCCCTAAATCAAAACAGCAGTTGTCTCGGAGGACTTTACAAAGTTTTCGAATCCTCAACAACAGATCAGAGAATCCATGTTGAGAGAAGGATCCGCTGCCAAGGACGGACAGGCTACAAATCCAGGATCCAGCATCTCTGTTCACTATATGTCTCACAGGCAACTTTGAACAGTTAGAGCTGTCAGAAATGCAGATATTTAGGTCTATAGGAGTTACATAACAACTGGCATTGACATGTTTTCATTCAGTTGCAGGTCTGACCTTTCTGGTGTTGCATTCAGATAACAAACTACAAAATCAATTTAACATAATTCTACCCACTCACTGCACTATTGTGTTTGTATTGGCGTGCGCGCCGACTCACCATTGATTCGGCGGAGCTGGCGTGAGTTTCATTGTACTGAGTTGTTGTGTGTGGGGAAAGAAAGACCGTGATATAAAACTTGACCATCTGACCATTGATCTACCGAAGGCCCGGCAACAAGCGAGCTGGGCCGACATATTGATCTGCAGCAGGTAAAACAAGCACGGGTTTACAATGACAGAGTCCAAATCTGAGGGGAAAGGGAAAAAAACATTCTCTTCACACTAAAGAAAGACGAATGGATGAGGACGATGTTATTTGGTAATGCCGTGATATCAAAAAGCCACAGTGGCTGTCAAAAATCCTCTCTAGGAATCAACAGTAAACAAGGAGCAGTGGAATTAAGGTGGCAGTGAAATTGTCAATTGGTGCCATAGCCTCCTGAATATTGCAGAACATAACTTAATCAAACCGACATGAAATTCAGTTTAACTTGAAGGTCTATTTCACACAATATCTGTATTTCCTATTATACCCATACCATCCTAATCTGCTTCCTGAACTCAGTTATATAAAAACAAAACTGTTTTCCAAGATTACTCATATGTCTATTCTGCCCACACCCTTATGCTGCTGGTACATGTGCATAAATGCCATCACAGAGAATATTGGTCTGAACCCCTGCTGCTATTTGCATACTGAACTTACTCATTTTTTCAGATGACTTCAATATTTTGTTCCTGGTCGTGTAATGTAGATTATTGAAGATGTAAATGTTAGCTACCATCTTCATATCAGATCATTTTAATTACTATCTTTTCCTGTGCATCCCTTTGGAAACAGTTTGTGTGTGAAATTAACTCTATGAATAATGTGAATCAAATGAAAGCTAAAGAAGCATTAGTCTAAATATTTACAGCTTTTTTTATCTTCTTCCACTTGCTCCTTACTCCCACTATCTTGCATGTGCACATTACCCCACTTCTCCTGTATCATAAATTTACTAAAAACCCGAAAACATTGGAACATCAACGGATACTGTCTGATACCGTTTTGTGCAGGATGTACTGTACTTTACCATCATATACATTGAATTAACCTTGGACTGAAAAGGCTGTATTTAGCATTTAGCATCTCAATAATATGACTCATATAGTTTGCATATATCTGATGTTTGCCATTTGAAAGCCCGGTGACCTGCCCACCTGTTGTTTGATTCAAGAGCTGAACTTTAAAGGCACAAAAGGACACCGACTGCGCCTGCTTCCTCCTCCTCCTCTGTGCTCAAGGAACGAACAGAATTAGAAGGATGTGGGCCGCGCTAACTGCACCAGAGGGCAAATGAAAGGCGACAAGTGTGTAGGAAGCTTGTGTGTCTCATTAAATATAGCTTTCATGAAATTATGACATGTTTCTGACAATTATTAGGCTAAACAAGCTCTGATTGTGCATTTGAAGTCTTAGAAAGCATTTGAGGACTCGTGAGAAATCTTACTTGAAGCCAGCAACACAAGCACTCAACAAATTACACCAACATTGTGTAGACAAGCTATAAACAAGGAAGTCATTGTAATAGTGATTGTAATAGGATATGTCATAGAAAAGCCATCCGCACAGTTTACATTGTGCATAAAAGTAGATAAATAAATACGTCTTTGTGATAATGGAAAGGCTTGTCGTAGAATTGCAGTGAAAGTGCGCACTTTTTCCTTTCCATTTTTTTAATTTCACATAATAACACCAATTCCGCCGTAATAACACCACTTCTTTCAAAAGTCAATCATCCTAACATTTGCAAAGCACACCATTACAAAGGCTTTAAAACTTAAAAAGTAAAAAAAAAACCTCTCAAAATCAAAGATGAGCCTTTCAAAGTTGAATCCAAAATGAGAAATGTTACTGTACCTTGGCCTCTGAGTTTGCTCCGAGCCTTCACAACCTTCAATCGTCTTCCCTCTAAAAAGCTTTGTTACCGTAGAAACCTGTGTTTAACTTTGACACTTTTATGTGATTTGAAGGAAAATCTTGAGTGAAGCGAAACTTAAATCCGGCAGCATAAAAAAAGAAGTTCTTGTGCCATGCGGTGGTTCACACTCTGGTCTAAATATACTACTCACAGAGAAGAAAATCAGACTGCTAATCCACTTGGTGTTATGACTTTTCCCCCTGGGTTTCAACTTGTATCCACCAAAAATAAAGACAAAAAGTCCGGATAGTTTTTGTTGCTTGAGGTGAGAGCCCAAAAGGCAGCCAGACAGGCGGCAAAAGACTTAGAATACAGCAGTCAAAAGGGGGCTGACCTGCTCCGGCTAACCCTGCCCTCAACCAGGCTCAGATAAAACTGAAGAGGCAGCATGAGCTAAGGGGATGGCTTAAATTAAGAAAGGTTGTGCGCACGGGACAGAGGTGAGCCGAGCGGGAAGGAGAGACAGGACAAGCCGAATGTCTCCAGCGCATCACAGCGAATTAATCATGCTGTAAAGACGGACGCAGAGGTCTGGGGAGCTTGACGTATGTCCGATGTTTGCTCCTGCGAGAGCCTATTACGCTTAACAGTTTGTCAGCCTTTGCGGCCTTTGTACCACTTCACTACATTTATGTAAGCTTCAATATCCGTCCAACGCTACCACCAGGAGATTAAAACTGTCTTGTGAGCCAAGCGTAGCCCTGTCTGACGGCGTAAGAAATACAGCAAATAATTGAATTATTGAAACACCCCAAAGTGTGTTTAAGAAAAAATATGTTTGGTCATTGCTATTTTTCAAAACACCATACTTTCTAGTGCAGTGAATGGTGTGTAGGTCGTAAGGAAGGAGTAACCTGACCCCCAGCCATGCCCTGGGAGCCCACTGCCGTGGCTATAATTAGAGCTAGACACAGCAGCTGGTGCAAACGCAGGACTGGTTCGTTTTATGTAGGGCAGGCCAACACACCACTTATACACATACTCATGCAGAAGTCCAGGAAAACTCCCGGGACACTGTGCCACTTTAAATACCTCAACATTCAATCATTACTTGATTGGTACAGTTGACCTTATGCAAATGAGACAAAGTCAGGAGTGATTTGTCTGAGCGAACACATCTTAAATTGATTTGTAAGAGTAACCTTCAGGAGAGTTGTAGAGTTAGTTTTTTTTTAGTTCTTTCAATCAACCAATTCTACATGGTGAATTTTTTGTGACATGCATCCCAAAAAAAGAGACGGATACTGTTTTTTAATATATATTTTTCATTACAGCCTAAATCACAGAGAAACTGAGTAGTATAACCACCTCCTGGTTGTTGAGAGGCCCTCAAGTAACCTCAAGATCTTTATTATGAGTGAAGGAAGGATGGAACGTGGGATTCACAGGAGGATCAGTGCAGCATCTGGCTCACTACCAATCAACCTACTCATGTTTCTGGCCATGAATTGTGGGCAATGACCAAAAATATGAGTTATTTTCTCCACAGGGCTGCTGGTCCCTCAGAGTACTGGTGAGGAACTTCATCAGGAGAAGGTCATCTGTTCATCTGTTTTGGATTGACACCTCATCAGAAGGAGGCCTAAAGGAAGGCATGGCATGCTTAGCCGTCGCCCAATCTCTCAAGGAAATTAATTTCTTTATCATTAAACCCAGATCTGGAGGTCTCTTCGTGAAAAAAAAAAATCCATCTTATTGAGAGTAAGATTAAGGTATAGCAATAAGATTGTTCCCTCTACCAGCCCTTTTAGCATAGGAAGTCCAGGACATTCCTATGGAGCAATCAGAAGCTGAGGCATCCCACAATCCACTTTGCATATCAGTAGGAGACAATATATCGATATAACAATATATCGTGACACTTTCTCCCGAGATCGATTATCAATATGCATTTGCCAAGTATCAATTTTGTTTTCACTTTTTTTTTTCAATTAGTATCAATACTTAATATATGACTACATTACGCATCTCCTTTCCATTTATCATGAAATAAAGTGTATTTTTTCACTTAACATTTTTCTTTTATTTATGGCATAAATTGGCATATGGTATATTTCTGACCAACATACCGTGACATAATCGTTATCGTGATATAATCGTTATCGTGAACGTTGTATCGTGTATCGTATCGTGAGGTACCCTGAGGTTCCCACCCCTACATATCAGCCTGAAACTGTCAGTAAAACTTCTCTTCCATGCTCCTTCCTCCTCTTCAACGCTCCTTGTGGTTGACCTCAAAAGAAGGATGATAAGGAGGAGAAAGAGTAGGTCAGGTTTCTGCTCAGACTGCGGCCCCTGCGACCTGGCCCCGGATAAAAGCACAAAAATGTATGAATAATGAAACAACAATTGCTACACATCGATGATGTACGAATGCATCGTCTCTGTGCACTCGAGGTGACACTCCACACTTAAAATGAAATACAACTGTTGAAGACAAATTACTTTGCTAAAGTTACAGCCGCATACAAACATTTCTCTACATTTTTACTGAACAGAATTACATTTTGAGGAATTCACAAATCACAACATTCAGGGATTTGATGGTGCTGTGAGAGAAATGGCTCAAGCAAGAGTAAACGAGAAATTTTGATTTATCATCACAATTTTGTATATTTATGTCAACCCTCCATTTTAACATCTGTTTATGGGATGCAATTGGAAATATAATGTTTCCAATCTTGATGAAAGTGCTGTGTATCACTAAACAGCTGTTTCTCTATTGTTGCTTTCAAACCATGCAGACTCACATTTAAGTTGCCTTCTCTGGAAATACTGTGGAATAGTGAGAGAAAAAGTCAGAGTTTGGTGACTTTTAGTTTTCATTGTATATCTTCTCTTTTTGTTTCATCTAGTATTGTTGCACAGTGGTTCTGTTTCTCCTTGTGAAGTAGTTCTGAGGCTGAAGTGCTAAAGCAGACATCTCAAACTCAGGCTCGTGGGCCAAATCCAGCCCGCAGGACAATTTGTTGTGGTCCCTAAAATGATTTTCACTGATATATTTTTGTCTTGCAGCATTGATGGTTATGGGTTACCAAGGTATATTAAACATAATCTATTTTTTAGGAAAACAAACACATTTAATTTATTCTAAAATTTTAACCCAACACATCATGTTAGATATAAAACACATCTTTTAACTTTATCTTTGGTATTGTTTTAGTTAAATCTAAACAATAAACCCATTTTGTTTTCAAAATGTCACATTAAAGAAATATCAAAACACCTTCAGAATGTAAAAAAAAAAAATCCTATAACTTCTAAAAAAAGATTACTTCTATTCGTTTGGCCCCAAACCAGTTTCTCTTTGTTCTTTATGGCCCCTGACCAAAATGAGTTTGACACCCCTGTCCTAAAGGACCACATTAACATAGACAAGGTCAAAGTTAAGAGAGATTTTACCCATCCCTCAATATCTTTAGGGCAGACCAGTGGGGGCGGGTCCCGGCTCAAAAGTGGCCAAAATGACGTGCGCTGACATGCTTGTAATACCACCCCGGGCCGATGGGGATGAGAATTAGCCAATGCTAATGTATAGGATCTACCTCTCGAAAACGTCTTTACAGGATGGTCCAAAAGTTGGCTCTTGGCCCAAAGCTCCGTTCCACATGTGTGTCAATGCTGAGGGGGGTTAATTTGTTTGGACCACTCTAGTTTACTCGCTGTGAATTCTTGAAGTCACTTGTTTAAATGAATGTGGCTTGAGCCGGCTGACGCATGCACAGATGCGTTTTTTCAAATTTTCCAGCCCCAGCGGCCATTTTGAAACTGCCCATAGTCCGCGGAAGTTGTGGGACATTACTTAGAACGGCGGAGATAGGCATGACTACGTCCGTTAATATTTACATTCTATGGGGCAGACATGGTAAAACTTTTCCTCTTAATGCTACGTCCTGCTTGGCTTGGGAGAGTTTAAGAAACAAAAAGAGTAAATGTTTAAATGGTAATTCACATCATGATTTATTCAAATGGAAAAATTAGCATATACAGTATATAGTAGTGCAACATAAATGAACAACCCATATTAAAACACAGAGCAAGCAAGAAGCTTAAATTAATGTAAATTATAATGAAAGTTACACAACAAAAGTTTGCAAAATAAACTTAAAATGTTCTACTACTTTTATTCTCTGTTTCATTTATGCTTATCTTGCAGCGCAGACACACTTAAAGAGCTGAGCATGGCAACATTTTATAACATAACTTATACATATAAAAATACAGTTTGTAATGTACTGTAAAATTATGTTAGTAAGTGATGAATTGGCAGCTCCTAATGTGGGATAAATATAACAAGCACTTGTCTGACCTGTACTTTTCACTAAGGAGTTATAAATGCTTGGAACGTTAACATTTAGCGAGGTCAGCGCTCAGGGTTATCAGTTATGAGAAGTTCAAGTCCCAATGAAAAGAAGTGGGTTGAAAACAAAACTTAAGACTTCAGCCGACCTGCACCTTTGCTGCATTATAATTACAGTTGAAAATATCTATTTTTTCTGTTCTGAGAAATATATTTGCTCCAGAAATTCTAATTGAAAGCAAATTCAGACCGCCACACAAAAATCTTTATTTAAATCATTCACATTTGAACATTCGAGCCACATGAGCATTTGGAGCTTTGTGCTTTGTGCTGAGAGCTGTTTAAACGGTGGTTATCTCTACCTTTCCTTTTCTTGTTCTGAAAGCTTTTCTGATAGCACAATCATGCATGCAGGTTTAAACTGGTCTTCAGTGTTTTTCATAGATTGCACGTTTGATTTCAATCTTCAATAACCCCTTTCAGTTTGAACATCAGGTATTCCAGCTTCAGGTCACAAAGCTGACCATGTGTAAACACAAATCTACAAACTATAACTTAAATTGCAGAGGATTATGAGCAGAGCAGGCCCACAGATGATAAAACGTGTAGCCGAGTGTTGCCCACCGGGCTACATTACAGACAGTGCATAACGTTACACCAGCAGGCACATGCAGGCGCTCACATTATGCTTGGCAGCACAACCCCACAGAGCTTTCTTCATGGTCACACAACCGCTGTTGCCTTAACCGTATGTACACGGTTTCAGCCCTGCCACCTAATACATGTTTATGTTTAGCCTCATTTGGTGGGCTTTTAGTTATTTATCTGTCATTTCATTTATTTTTGTCAGATCACTGCTTGGCACAAACTCACAGCTCACACCCATGAGAAATGCTGTGATGAAATCAGCCATCCAAAGTAATTCTGATGAAACTAAATGCAATGAACAAGAACAACGCTCATGTCTCCCCGCATCGCAGGGAGACACAGTGCTGTTGCCTGGGAAATAAAAATGATCTGAAATAACACTCCTTTCACTTGATATTAAACATAATCGACTAATGCAGACTGCCCATTTGGAAGTGAAAAT